ACCCACACACACACACACACACACACACACACACACACACAAAATGAACATTTGCTCCTTGGGTGTAGTCCAGCAGATTTTGTGTGTGATGTAAACATTTTCCTGCTGTGACGAGCATCTGCTTCTTTTTTAGCACAGGAAGGGGAAGCCCCCCCCCTCAAACACACACACACACACACACACACACACACACACACACACACACACACACACAGAGGAAAAGAAGCCACACACACAGAGGCCAAGCAGCATGAAGAGGACACACTTGCCTCTGTGCACAAAATGCAGAGAGGAAGCATGAAAATGGAGATAAGACACAGCTTCTCAGAGCAGCTGCGGCACTCAGACAACACACACACTGATGTACAAACACGCCGTCAGTGGGTCAGTCCACCCGTCGCTGTAGAGGAGAAACCATCTCCATCAGCTAAAGCTGCTGTCACTGAGCGCCGCCACCATCAAACATACACTGGATTACGCGGTACAGTCACAAGCCAGTGCTGCTCACTGCACCTTGCTGAAAGTGATGCTGCAGTCTTCACTCAGGTGGAGGAAAAGACCACGTGCATGCAGTGCGCACAGTGACTGAAGCAGCAAAACAGGATCAGTGCTTTGCAAAACAACCTCCCTGACCTTTTAGAAGGACACATCGTATGACTGCTCTCTGGTTTGTCACTGAAATGGTTAAAGTTTGTCCAGGTCTAGCCAAGAAAAACCAGGACTGTAGTCAAGTTCAGGACTAGTCTGAGCAGAGCACTGAGAGCAGAGCTCCTGACAGAGCCTCAGATAATCAATCACACTGACACAGCACAGAGCTTTGGAGCAGCTTTGGGATCAGAGTCCAAATGTGAATCAGTCTGACTTCAGACCAAACAGCCAACGAAGAGAAAGACCGAAAGGCAGCGTTTAAGACTGGGCGCTGTTTTCTTACTGTTGCTCATCTTTATACAAACAGGTCATGGTGTAAATTCTGCATCGTTTCCTGAAAGATTAAGAAATTATATTTATTACATAGCAAAGTGTAAATTAAATTAGATACAGTTATAACAAGGCAACTATGAAAGTCTGATAGATTTCTTAACATTTGTTCCAAAAACGTATAGATGTAAAGGACGGCGAGGTGCTGCGCTGTAACGATGTTGGTCCCCTGCAGAGACTGTTCTCAGTGCTAAAACTAACGACAGTTTTGTTTTGAGGGCGATGTCTGAACCGGGCCCAGCGCTGCCTGGTCAGCGGCACCGTCCAAATGATCTGCTGAGCATGACACTTTTAAAAGGCCTTAAACTCAAAACAAAAGGTTACTGTGTGCTTGGGCCGGGCTGGGGTCTGACCGGACTACGGTCTATGATCTGCCATCGCTGCAGCCAGAGAGAGCATCACTAACGCTTTGATATGCACTGTGTGCAACGCACACACACACACACACACACAGCTGGCTGACTGTGGACACCGTGACGTCTCCTCCACAGATTTCCAGCAGCTCCAGTTTGATAAAAGAAAGTCTCCCCACTGTGTCTGTGCTGAGTGATCAGACTGCTGAAGGCCAGTCTACACTGAAGCTATTGTCCTGCTCAAACACACACACACACACACACACACACACAGTGAAGGCCGTGAAGTTGTACGAGTGCTTGTTTGCATGTAGAAAACAGTTGGGCGTTCTTATCGGCGTGTGTGTCAGTCCAGTTTCCTTCTAGAGGTTAACCAGAGTTTATTCCTGTCTTATTTCCTGCACTGAGGTCACGCTCACTCTGACCCAGCTGTGTGCGCTATGTGCTTGTGGGTGCACGTCCCAGTGTGCCAGTTACTAGTAGTCTTTATTTTAATGAGTAACAACAGAGAAGACGTTGGTAAAAAGCAGCCAGCCCCAGCCTGAGGACGCTGCTGTGTAGTTTGAGTGTGATTTGTTGGAAAGATGAGGCCGTGTGAGCAGGAAACGTCCCTGAGCATGACCAATAACTCAGAGGCTCACTGCAGAACGTCTGCTAACAAATTGCATTATGTGATTTGTAACGCTGCATTCAAGTCCTGGAATAGTTCATCCAGCTGGGAAAGCCATTCTGAGGAACAAAATACATCTGACTGAATAACGTCGACGTACCAGAGAGAGCAAACAAACACGAACGCCTCATGTCAGCCAGAGTTTATTAAATTAAACTCAAACTTCATTCACACAGTGCTACAGGGACCCTGCACAGTATTTTCACACACCGCCAAGCGTGCTGGGTAGTCAAGGCCATTTTTCCAGCTGCTGCCGTCCATCCTACATGAGGTAGTGAGGGGAACGTCCTACGTCTGCCTCCACCCTCGTCTGCCTCTGGACATTCAGTCATCCCATCGCTTGTCTCTGGCCTGAAGTCAGCAGCATCACAGCCACTACAGCTCAACCTCTGTTAGCACAGACTCGCAGTAAACCAAACCAAAGACGGCGCTGAGCAGCAGTTATCTGTTTAAAAGGATGCACTTCCAAAATGTTGGATGGAAGCTACAGCAACTGTTTCCTGCATGGTTTGAATGAACGCACGGTGTTAAATGGTTAGTGCTGTAGCGTTGAGATGGGTTGGCGAGTTAAGGTAACCGTCTGCAACCTAAGCAGCTGTGCTGTGAAACACAACAAACAAGTCGTCCAGTGGCTGAGTAACATCCTTCTTTCATTCATTATCACCACCGTGTCACAGAGGTGAATCTGAGGTTCACCAGAGGAAGTTTACAGCTTGTCAGTGCTTGTGTTGGCAGCCTGCTGTGACCTCTGACCTCTCCTTGAAATCTTCATGAAGAGAAACGGATTGTGCTGTTGTAAGTCTGTCATGGTAAACAGTGACGGAAATCATCAGTGTAAAACCCAGGGGCTCGGCTGAGGGAACACTGTAGCACACACACACACCCTCTCTCTGAGTCTTTGTGGCTGTGTGTGTGTGTGTGCGGTAACGACGAGCGCCAGGCCTGTGGGAAGTAAAGCATGCTGTGTTGCAGACAGCAGGTGTCTGCTGTCAGACTGCAGTTCATCTGCTGCGTGTGAATATTTACAGCAGTGATTCAGATTTAGTCTGCTTTGTCAGACACAGGAAACCTCTCCCTCACACACCTCCACACACACCTGCAGACACATCAGCAGGGCTCAGACTGTACGAACTGTTGGAAACAAGAGTCTGACATGTGCCAACTCTTAATGGCTTCTCATGCTGCTGCTCAGTGAATGAAGTTGTCAGGGAGTTCACTGTGTTCCCCAGCCCCTGATTCATTTTGCTGTAGTTTCACTTCCTTTTCCACTGACCTCTGATCTCTCTCTTTCTCATTCTGTCTCTCTTGTCCAGATGAGCGTGAGGCAGTGCAGAAGAAGACCTTTACTAAGTGGGTGAACTCCCACCTGTCCAGAGTTTCCTGTCGAATCACCGACCTCTACATGGACCTGAGGGATGGACGCATGCTCATCAAGCTGCTGGAGGTCCTGTCCGGGGAGAGACTGGTGGGTTAAATCACTGTGAGGACGGAGGAGGCGGCTGGTTTGGCTGAAACGAGCTGCAGGTTGCAGTTAAAGGAGCAGTTCAACATTTAGGGAAATCCTCTCGGTCTTTAGCCCCTTTCAGTTCTCCTACTGGAGGGCTGCATGATGTATGGTTGTGTGAGCGTGACTCAGATCCCTGTGTGATCCCAGTCTCACATGACAATGATTCTGCCGTGTCAGTGAGATCTCCAGCATCAAACCAAGAGCTCCCTTTTACTCGCTAAGCTGCGTTGACCAGTAACTGCAACTAATGACCGCGAAGTGATTTATTTCTGCCTCAACTGCCGTGTGGCGCTAGATGAACCGGGCAGGCAGCTCAACGTTTGAAAAAATAACTGCAGGATGTTGAATCTGTTTTTGAGTCAGTCTTCTTCTGTCACATGGGTATTTTTCTGGGCAAAATGAAGTAGAAGTGGGCAAACATATTCCTAAGCAGCAGTATTTTGTATTTGCTTCAGTAGATTTTGGCACTAATAAGAACATTCTTTAGTGGATTCACCAAGGTCATGTTAGTCAGTGATGAAGGCTTCAGATGCAAAAGAACCTTTCTCCAGTGTCTCATGTATAACCGGTTGCTCCCCCCGAACCCAACCACCACCTGGACTGCACTCCTTGCAGCTGCAGGTCGTCGCTGTGCTCCCACTCCTCCTATCTGCTTGTTTGCTCAGTTTCTCTGAACATGAAATATCGGCGTTTATGGCTCTTATAATCATTAACCCCATGTGGTCATACTGTCTGTTTCTCTCTCTCTCTCTCACACACACACACACACCACGACACTGTCACAGAAGAAAGGTGTACTAAAAATAACACACTGCAATAATCATAGCTCAGCTGTCCTGGCTCATGGTTCTGTACAGTAAGTATTGAATAAACCTGTGTCTCATTCCACTGACAGCATGTGTTAAATACATAAAAACAATACAGCACATGCAGTAATACAGTATAATGTACAAGGACAAAGCAAAAGCCTGACACTAACACATTCAGAGATATATGTTCAGTCTCATGATGAAAAATCAACAAAACAGTTTAAAAATCTGGTTTGAGCACCAAGATTAATTGCGCAGAAAAGGGTGAAAGAGATGCTATAATCTTAGTGTGTTTCCATCCATCCATTATCCTGAATAGGGTCGTGGGGGGCTAGAGCCAATCCCAGCTGACACCGGGCGAGAGGCGGGGTCCACCCTGGACAGGTCTCCAGTCTGTCACAGGGCTGACATGTAGACAAACAACCACACTCACTCACTAGGAGCAGTTTAGAGTCACCAGTCAATCTAAGCTGCATGTCTTTGGACTGTGGGAGGCAGCTGGAGCACCCAGAGAGAACTCACGCGGGCTCCTCACGGACAGGCCCCGGGTCGGCCGGGGCTCGAGCCTTCTTGTGTTTCCATCCACCATTTTCAACTAGTAGATTTTTTTTTAAAAAAAGAGATGAACACCCTGGAAACCTGGGGGGAAAGTAGTTGAAGTATAGCAGACACTGCAGTATTGAGTATTTACTGTTATTAAACTATAAAGAAACTAGCTCTATAGTTCAGCAGTGCAGTGGATGATAAACGGGTTCTTTACCCTTCACATGCACTTTGTCAGTCAGTTAAAGAACTGGATGGAACATAAGGATTAATTAGACACTGTCTGGTCTGATGATCAGCAGGACTGCGTTGCTGTTGTTGTTTGGTCCCGTTTCGGGTGTTTGTTGGTGAAGTTATTGACCAATGTGTGTTTGAACTGCAGGATTCTTGCGGCAGTCGCATTGATTTTGCAGCTTCATAACTGCAGCTGTAAACCACAGGAAGGAAAGAACATTTCGATTCAGCTCCTTTAGGAATTAAATTCCAGGTTTCTCCAGTGGAGAAACTCGCTGGGTGAATCACTGCTGGACGCGCTGCCTGTTGCATTTCTCTCCGTCTGCTTAGTGTGTTCACGTCTCTCTCACACACACGCACACACACTCTCTCTCCCCCTTTCAGATGGCCTGAGTTTCAGCCCGCTTTGTGACTTCCACTGCACTGAGCCAACGTCTCTTCTTCCTTTCTCTTTTTCTTTTTTCTGTCTTCCTCTTCTTGGCCATCTCTCCGGCCTCTCCACTCTGCTGTCATCCAGCCTTTTTACAGCCTGTCAAACACTCACAGAGAGAGAAAACACAGCTACACAGGCAGACATAAGAGTTTCCTCTATTTTGTGACTACATTTGTTTTATACCTTGTACATTTATTAGTCTCTGGATGCTCACGGAGGAAGACGTGACCAGGACACGAGAGAGGACTAAAGGGTGAAAAGCCTGATGGTGAAGTGGCGAGCAGGATGGGTGGAGGGAACAACAATGGGAGTCAGAGAGGAGGGGGTGGACTTGTGAAAGAAGTCATTGAGTAACTTTGAGGGTTTGGCCAGAAGCAGCAGAAGAATCAGAGAGCGAGCAGCTGTTGCCACGCTGCACAGTGTGAAGGAGAGTTCCACTTGGTGCATTTTTATGTCCATTATTTTCATTGTTCTCACTTACTTCACTGGTGACTCGCCTGTCTGCCTTTTTCCTCACTTGCACAGTAACACCGACCCCGAGCACGACCCCGGCGGTGTTCTCTAACTTTCTTAGTCAACAAATCCCATGAAAAGTTTGGTGTCTGTGGCTCTCAGCTCTGAGCCGACTGGTTCCTACTGAGAACACAAGCCTTTAAACACAGCTCACAAACACAAAGCTTTATTTTTCAGTAATTTCCTAAAACAGCTGGGAGCTGTAGTGGTGGATGATGAATTCACATCCTTTACTTAAAGTACTGTAAAAATACTCCATTACAAGTAGAAGTAGAAGCACCTGAGCGCTGTTAGCAATAAATATCTTACATTAGATTATTAATGATAATCTGTGCATAATAATAATAATAGGATTGTGAATGTGCAGGAAACTTTTACAGTCATATTTGTTTGAGGTGGAGCTTTTTACCTACATTACATTTTACTGGATAATTCAGTCTAACAGTGCAACATGTTTTATGAGTTCACTGTAAAATGCTGATGTGTAAAGTAAAATTTATTTCTATAGCACTTTTCTAAACCACAGTTGCAAAGTAATTTACAAAAGAAACTGCACAGTAAAAGTAAAGGAACACAAAGCAAACAAACAGCGTTAAATAAAATCAAACATCAGTGAATAAAGGTGAATGTACAGAGAAACTCTGGTAGTGGACGCCTGCTTAAATGGGTTTAATGGGTTTAAAGTTACTGTAGCAGTCAAATAAATGTACAGCTGCAGTATTTCCTTCTCAAAAGTGGAGTAAAAATACTGGAAAAGGTACAAGTACTTCAGGTTTGATTGTGTTACAGTACATAATGTAGGTAAAATAGAGGACAGTTGTGGGGGACTATTTTCAGCAGCGGATGAATCCACATTTGCTCTTTAGTATCAGTGGCAGCAGGACAGCGTGTGTGGGACTGAGTCAGAATAAGGTCCAATGTGTGTCCATGGTGATGAAACCGCCTGTCAGCCAGTGTGGTCGCTGATGGAGCTAATACATAGTTTGTGGCCACGGTGGAGCAGACACACAGACAGGACTGTGCTTTTCATGGGATTTGGTTCCCAATAAGACCAATATCTGATATCAACAGATGAATTCTTAAAGAATTTGGGTTTAGCTTGAAGTTCGGCTGTAACGGGGGCGGGCGACGTGGCTCCAAGGCAAACATCAAGCACGAACGTGTGGTTTGAGTTGAGTAAAGGTTTCCAAGAAGTGCAAGCGCTGAGAGAAAGCTGGGAAGCCCCCCACCGGACTGCTGATGGAGGTCAACGTGGTGTTTGTTTTTATGGCACATGGTGCGGATGTTGCAACAGCAGACAGTGGTCCAGACCGTCTCTGGTCTGGGTCCAGATCCTGGATCATGGAGGAGCGCTTCACTGGGTGGCGTTGATGTGTCCGTGTGGGGAGCAGAGAAGACAGCGGTGTTATTGTTGGCCATTGTCCTGGGTGTAGAGTGGATGGTCAGTGCTGGACGGAGGACGTTTGTTTTATTGTAGTGATTTATTATTGCTGGCTTTGGTTTAGATCAGATTTCCAGATTTAAACCTCTGTGACTCGTTTTCAGCATGTGAAGCCATTAAAGGTGGTGCGACATTAAAAAATGTGATTTATAAAAATGACTTGTTACTTTGTGATGGAATATTTCTACAGTGTAGTATTGCTACATTCACTTAAGGATCTGAATACTTCCATCGCTGAATCCCTGGGGTCTGCTGCACGGATACTAGACATGCAAAACAGCATTATTACAGTACCATCATCTGTGTAAAACTAGCTTTAGTGCAGAGTAGAGAACCCTGGTCTGCACCGTGCTCTGACCTTCGATGACTAACGAGTCGGCCACGTACAGCCGTCACAAAACTTCTGATGAAGTTTCTACTCGAGAAATGAAATGGCTTCTGTGACTAAACGAGTTCCTGCTGTTTATTTACTGTCCACCAGAATGGTTCAGGGTTTGTTCATGAAAATTGACTCGCACACAGCCGTCACAGCTGGTACAACCCAGACGAAACCGTCACAAAGTCCCATCATCAGCTCAAGCTCTTTTGCTGGTGAACCACAGGAAGGACACCACTTCTACATTGTGCAACGCAGGTTTTTGGATGAGCCGGCTGAAATTTGATTCAGGGCCTTTTGCCTGATGCGCATATAAGCTATTGGCTTTTGGAGATGATTTATTGCTTTAAGTATGAACAACTGTTTCCCTGTTTTTGGACGTTTGCACAGAGGAAATCCCTGGAGATTGATATAAATATAGTCCAGTAAAAGTTATTGCATAGTGAACCTTTTGTTCAGCAGAGTCGACTCCGTTTTGAAGCCGGTCAGCTGTGTCCGCAGCTGTTTCCTCCTCCTTCATGTTTACCTTATGTGGCAGCATGAAGCAGTTCATGGTTCCTGGTTTTGGAAGGTTGTAAATAAACTGAGTTTTGTGTTTGTTCCAGCCCAAACCCACCAAGGGCCGGATGCGGATCCATTGTCTGGAGAATGTGGACAAGGCCCTGCAGTTCCTGAAGGAGCAGAGGGTTCACCTGGAGAACATGGGCTCCCACGACATCGTAGATGGGAACCACCGCCTCACCCTGGGCCTCATCTGGACCATCATCCTCCGCTTCCAGGTAAGAGCCCATGGCGCAAGTGTGCATCCTGTGAGGAGGTGAACACATGGTGTCACATTTCTCATGTATGGGCCCTATTGTGCCTGTCATCAGCTCGCAATAGTCGCATATCAAAATGAGGGGCACACTACTTATGTTTAGACCTCCTCTTGGCCATTATCACTCACCTGTAGATTTAATTCCCAATTAACGTGATTGATTGAATATGGTTTTTGTGTGTCCCACAGTATCAGAGCCTTTTATTCAAATAAGTTTAGCATATTGTACATTCTCAACATATGGTACTAAACTCACTTCCCTACTATGCTAGAAAAGCTATTGTTAAAATGAATCATTGTTAATATTTTTAATTAACAGGTTATGGTCCAAATACTCTGCAGATGTGAAAACAGACCCTTTACAGTCCTAAACATGTGACATAAAACCTCAGTGAAAGATTAATAGTCATATAATATTTAGCTGTAACTCTGGACACGTTCCGAAGAGGACGATGAGGTTAAACTGCTCCTCCGCCGAGCTACGTTCTTCAGCCACCAGTCCGGAGGTGAAAACACTCGTATGGCAATGCTGCTGGTTGTGGTGTCACTCGGGCGATGATGTCACCACTGTGAACAGCTGGGGGGGAGGATTTAGCTTTATCAGCCATGAGGATTAAAACCACACTTCTTAGTGGTTTTAAATCCTGTGTGGAGGAGCGAGGGCGAAACGGAACCGAGCGACAGGAGGATGACGGCGTGTGTGTGGTATGTTCGTTTACCGGTGGAGCTGATGTTGCTGACTCGTGTCCCAGATGTGGTTCATGCTTCTGTCTGAGTGAAACTGATGGATTTCAATCAATGAAGGTGAGATTCCTGTGCGCGGTCTCGTGTACTGTCCCGAGACAGAGTGGCAGATTAGAAAACCAGGGAATTTTTGTAAAACGAGGATATTTTTAGACAAATAAGGACATGTTTTGCTGTTCAGGTCAGACTATGTAAGCACAGACTTCTTGGATAAGGACATCTCTAGACAGAAGTGAGGACGGTGCTGGAAAGAGAAGACATTTGTCAGAGAGCTGTTTGAGGCCTTGGGCAGTGACGGATGCCCTACGTCAGCAGGAGACGTCGCTGGATGGATTACACGCTCATGTGTGACGTGTTTGTGAACTGAGCCGTAGTGCCGCGTTCACTGCCCGTGGGTAAAACAAGCTGTGATTTCTGAGGACACGTCTACTTTGACGCTTCTAGTCTTTTTTTCCCTTTTACTGTTTTTTGGCTTCTTTTAAGCAGTTTCACAATCTTAAGAATCACTTGATATTAAACACTGACTGAACATTCAGCTTGTAGGCATTTTAGAAAGGTTCATTTGTTGGATGATTTTCTCATTAAATGAATGTTTTATTTCTGTAGTTTGACTTTGAATTGAACTATGCATGATGACGTTCTCTTTGACCCCGTCCCCTGTAGCTTTAAAAGGTGTCCTTGAGCAAGACCCTGAACCCCCAGTTGCTCCCGGTGATGTCACCAGTGTGTGAATGCGTGAGTGCTTGGGAGTGCGAATGGGTGAATGGCCGAATAATGTGTGAAAGCGCTTTGAGTGTGCTGTAAAAGCATAGAAAGGTGCTATACAAGTATAAGACCATTTACCATGTCTGCAGCTCACTGCAGTCAGTATTGAGGGAAACCTGGATCATCTAAACAGAAAGTTTAAGAGCTGCATGAATTCTTTAAACATCATTTTAAACCATCAAGCTCTGCAGTTCAAGTTTGGTCTGTAACACAAACAGTTACAAACAAAACTGAAGTTCAATGTTCAAATTGAGCAGTATTCAGGTGTGTGTGGTCTGGAGTCGCCGACTTCGACACTGTGTAGCGTCCATCATATCAGCACTGAGACTGTGTCTGTCTGTGTCTCAGATCCAGGACATCAGTGTGGAGACGGAGGACAACAAGGAGAAGAAGTCGGCTAAAGATGCTCTGCTGCTCTGGTGTCAGATGAAGACTGCAGGGTAAGACATCCGCTCGCTATCCACTGGGAGCGTGAGCGGTTTTTCTAAACTTCACACTACGTTTCCCATCAGCCCTAGTGCCTCCTGCCCCCCCCCCAATTAGTGGAGGCTAATAAAGGCTGCTCACCGATGGTCTCCTTACTTTAATGACACCAGCATCACTAATCGATGACTATAAAATGGTGTTCTCAGTACTGTTGCTCTCCTGTCCAGATATCCAAACGTCAACATCCACAACTTCACCACCAGCTGGAGAGACGGGATGGCCTTCAACGCTCTGATCCACAAACACAGGTAGAAACCTCCTCCTCAAACACGGCGTGCACAAGGTCTTCTCTCTGAGGTTGTTTCACATCTTTCTGGTGGTTTTGTGGCCATTTTTCCATCTCTCCATCTTTTAGCTTAGCTTTGGAAAACAGGAAATATTAACAGTCACGCCAGACAGGGCTCCTGTTACAGTAGATACGGGGAAGAACTGACCAGTGTGTGATGTAAATAAATTCATGTGCTTCATAAACAATCACAGGCATCATTATTTGTTTTCTGTCACTGTGTTCGGGCAAATATCTGTGCGTTTGAAGACATTAGTACAAATAACTACTGCAGCTGGTTGATCGATCGCTTGCCACCAACTGAACACTGCAGCAGAGAAAACAAC